ATGAATGTTATTTGTGTTCTGACAAATTGAAGTCAGTTTTAAATAATTTCCTTTGTTATGTTTTTACCTCAAAAAATGAGATTGTGAGATACTTTAAAAAGCATGTACTGTCGAAAGGGAAATGCATGAAGATTAACAATGGTGAGATATTATCTGGAGTCAGTGTGTTTGATATTTATTACCTGTTTCTCCCCTTCCCCTGTTTTGCATAAAATAGGAGTTGCTGGAAATTAAATTCATGAATCAACTGTACTTCCCTATTAGCTATATTTGCCAGGAAGTATATTTGCAGACATAAGCTTGTTTGGTTTTTTATGACATATAAGAAATATTATACTAACACTTGTTCAAAGTATAGTATTTCAAAATATTTAAGAGTATTAGATGATGGCCCTTTGGATCATACATGAAGCAAGTGTCACGGGTTAAGCTAGTCATCTATAATGGTATGTGAAAAGACCTTTGGAGACAAGGCCAAGAGATGCTGCTACAGAACAGTTAGACAAGAAACTGCATAGTCCACAACCTGATAGTTGGTAGGACAAGAGGCTCATAAGAGGCTCCCTAGTTTCTTGAGCTGTAAAGGAGATGGTGGGAGAATTGTATTTTCAGACTTGCAAAATTCTGTTCATGCAGCTTTAAAATAAAGCAGAATTGCTTATCTGATCCTGCTTCCTATTTGGTCTACCTAATAAGGCTAACACAATTTTACAAACAATATATTGTGTGCTGCAACTACTGGATTGGAGAAAAATGAAACGTAACATGTACAATAAATACAGTATCTAAATAATATTCTTTGGATAGGAGATTCCTAACATGCACTGTATAACTCGCATGTCCTAACAATTCATTTTGAGAGCAGGCAATGTACCCAGCAATGACATTTCTAAGTTTTAATTATTTAGTCCCATTGGAAAAGCAATGACTGAATTAAGGTGCTGGCCATCATATTGTCCATCCTTAAGTTGGTGCCAGTTGTTCCTTTCCTACTTTATTATATCTGCTCTGTTTAATGATGTTGTCCTATTCTTTGAATGTGCTGGTCATTATAGGTCAGGTGACTATGTTTCTTTACTGCTCACCCTCAATACATCATCATAGAAGAAAACATTCACCAGTGGAGAAGGAGGCATTCTGAACTCAGGAGTCTTCTCAAAGCTGTCCCTCCTTCTCTATCTCATTTGAGCAACTCTTGCGCTAAAATAGAATGAACTAAAAACAAAAACATAGGGAAACAGGTTGATATGGTTCCAGAAAAGGAATAGGCAGATATGTGTCAAGACTGGGCAGTTAGCTTGGCAATGTAGAATGGGATAGAGAGAACTAGATTTCCAAAATAGGAACTGATGAAGTGAGATATGAAATGAAGCAGAATGTTGATCAGTTGGGCTATTTTGAGACTAGAAAGGAAAATTACTAAAAACATTGTCAATTTCACTGCCATTCCCAAATACCTCAAATCAAACCAGACCCAAAAGATTTCTTGATCTGGCCCATAATTTGTTAACTTGAGAATGAAAATAAAATGCACTGATTTCAAAATAACACAAGTTCAAGATTACACAACAACTACATTTCCATGTGTGTACAGATATCTAAAGTACAAATATTTTAATTTATGAAATTATAATTTCAATTTTGCATGGATTACAAATGGAATACATATCCTCTAAGAAGGATTCTGAAAAATTAGAATAAACAGAGAGAACACCAAAAAGAACAAAGTTTGTAGAGAGACCGGTGGGTACATTTAGCTTAAAGAAAAACTTATGGGAATATATTATTTATTTTATTTTATTTTATTTATTAAATTTCTATGCTGTTGGTCTCACTAACACTGTGTCTCTGGATATCTTTTTTTTATTATTATTTGATTTATATGCCGCCCTTCTCCGGAGACTCAGGGCGGCTTACAATGCGTTAAGCAATAGCCTTCATACTTTTGTATATTTATACAAAGTCAGCTTATTGCCCCCACAAACTGGGTCCTCATTTAACCTACCTTAGAAAGATGGAAGGCTGAGTCAACCTTGAGCCTGGTAAGATTCGAACCTGCAGAAATTGCAGGCAGCTGTGTTAATTACAGGGTGCATTAAACCACTGTACTACCAAGGCTCTTATATCTTACAATATAATAAAAATTAAAAGGTGCTAAAAACAATTAAAATTAGAATAAAAAGACTAAAACTTAAGAACCAAGATGATGGGCAGCCTGAGGTGAGAATCTTCTTTATCATGTCAGCCATCCCCAAAATAATAGGCCCCTGTTGAGATCCCATTCCATGTAACAGAGCAAGTTTTTAGGCTCTGGAATGTAGGGATAGTCCCCACCTCTGATGGGAGTATATTCCAGAGAAAGGGGGCCACATCAGAAAATGCTCTTCTCTTGGACTCTGCCAGCTGAAATTCTTTGGATCTGAAGTAGGCCCTTTCCATTGGAATGAGTGGGGCAGATTAGTCACATCAGGATAAGGCAATTCCTCAGATACCTTGGACCCTTACCATAAAGGCCTTTAAAAGCAATGGCCCACACCTTGAATTGCATCTGGAAGAAACTGGCAATCAGTGAAGCTCATGTAACAGCAGACTTACATATCCCACCTAAGGGGGCTGCAGAACTGTCAGTGCTGCTGCAATCTGTATTAGTTGTAGTTTCTGAATACTCTTCAAGGGCAGCCCCATGTAGAACACCTTGCAGTAATCCAATGGGAGATGATAAGGGCATGAATAACTATGCACATGATGTGTGTGTGTGTGTGTGTTAGCTCTTGCCAAAATCTTCAAAATATTTAACAAAAAAAGCCAAGATCTGTTTTACCTCCAGAGTGCAAGTCAGAAAATTATCCAGAAGCTGATGGACTTGGATATGTTCAAGTAGAGAAGACTGTAGATACTCTTCTGATTAAAATGGATAGGTGCACCAAGCAGGTACTGGAGTCAATGTTCTAAATGGCCCATTACAACTCCATCATTTTATCTTGCCCCATCAGGCCCTAGGAAAACAACCTGGCCCAACCAGATTCTGAATTGCAACTTGAAGCTAAGACAAAGAAGGGCCTGAAACCCAATAGCTTCAGGAAAGGATTGCATCCCAGTCATTTCAGCTGATAGACTGGGGTAAAATATAGTTTTTGTAGGGTACAATATAGTTTCCTTAGAGCCAGCTCAAGCCTAGAGATTACAAGATCAATGCCATATAGAACAGTGAATCAGAATAATGTATTCTGTTGAAAGGGACCTTGGAGGGCTTCTAGCCCAGCCACCTGCTCAAGCAGGAGAACAACTGGATGTCCAATCTCTTCAGAAAAACCTCCAGTAATGGAGCAACCACAATTTCTGGAGACAGGGCATTCCGCTGATCAGTTGTTCTCACTGTCAGGAAATTTCTCCTTATTTCTAGTTGGATCTCTCCTTGATAAGTTTTTATCCATTACATTTTGTCCTGCCCATATGTGCTTTGAAAAATAGGTTGACATTTTTTTCTGTGAAAAGCTCCTCAAATATTTGAAGATTGCTATCATGTTATCCCAGTCCTTCGTTAAACTAAATAAACCCAGTTCCTGAACTGTTTTAGCATCCGGCCACCTAAACATCTTTGTTGTTCTTCTCTGCACTCTTCCTGTAGCCTCAACATCTTTTTTATATCATGGTGACCAAAACTGGACATGGTATTCCAAGTGTGGTCTTACTAAAGCAGCATAAAGTGGTAATAACTCTGATACTATGACTTCGATACTATTCCTCTGTTGATGCAGCCTAGGACCGCATTAGCTTTTTTGGCAGCTATAGCACACAGTGGTTTCCATTAGACTTCTAGATCCCTCTCACAATTACTGCTGTTGAGCCACCAACCACCTAGTATATACCTGTGCATTTGGTTTTTCTTGCCTAAGTATAGAACCTCACTTTTCTCATCACTGAGTTGCATTTGTTGGATAGAGCCCAGTGTTCAAGTCCATCTAGATCCATTCCCCTCCATCTTGGTGTCCTTTACATACTTGATGGGTTCACCTTCTATTCCCTCGCCTAAATTGTTTATGAAGATTTTGAAGAGTATTCCACTGCATGCTTCTCTCCCTGTAGGTGTCGGATAGCTAATCAGTTCATAACTGGTTTATGAATCCATCTGGTGCTGGTGCTGTCTACCCCACGTTTGTATTTTATCAAGAAGTAGGTTGTGGTTGTTGTGTAAAGCCTTACTGAAGTCCAAGTATACTAGATCTGCAGCATTTCACAGGTACACTAATTTAGTTACTTTGTTTTTTTGAAAAATTGTCTGGCATGATCTGTTTTTGACAAACCCACAGTGGCCTCTAGTAATAGCTTTGCTTGCTTGAGCACTTGCCTATAAAGTTGCCAAAAATTGGACACAATGGTTAAAATAAACAAAAAAGCTTCACAGATCTGATGCTTATCTTTTCCAGGATCTTTTCAGATATTGATGTCAGGATGTATTGGGTTGCAGTTTCCTCGATCCATTTTTTCCTTTTTTTGAAGATACAAACCACATCAGCTCTTTACATAGTTTGTTTGCTTGTGAGCAATAGGGAAATGTTTGCCACTGTCTTCTTCTGGGGTTTTTCCAGTCTTTCCAGTCTAGCTTTCATTGTTAGGAATGCCTGGTGATCTTTCCAAAAACTAACCTATTGGTCACTGATGAGCGTTTTGAAATCAGCTAAGGCTGATTAGATGCTAGTCCAGCCATATCTTTGGTACCTTTTTCCAAACAGCATCCCTTTCCTGATTCCTCTTAATAGTTGCAGATTAAGGAGGACACACATTTCCAACGATGTCCAGACAAAATAACTTCCTGTTCATGATCCCCTCCCTCCCTCCTTTCCTTTTCTTCCTTCCTTCCTCCCCTCTCACTCCCCTCCCTTTCCCACTCTTCAGCTCCTAACCCGGAGTTCGAGGAATTGGCTCAGGGATCGTTCCTCCGCCCTTTCTCTCGCAAGGGGTGGGTCTTGACACCGCCGACGTTGACAGCTTCTGAAGAAACCGCTGCCTCGCCTGGGTCGTTATCCCTTTGGGTCAGCCCAAGAGGGATAAAAGCCCGGCGGCTGGATGGAGCTACTCAGAGTGCGCTATAGCCCGTTGTGCCAACATGAGCCGCCTAACCTTCCGCACGACCTCCCTATTTGTCCTCTTCCTACTCCTCGCCGGGAGCGCCTTGCAGACCCAAGGTAAGCTGATTTCTGACCCCAGGCAGGGAACTGCAGGTAAGAAGGCGAGCGGACAGCTGTCTTCCATCCTGGGCTGCCTGATAGCTCTGCGCTCTGCGCTCTGCGCTCTGCGCTGGTATGCGCTGGTAGCTGTCGCTGCCCTTGGGCCAAGCGGGGTTTCTGAGGAGTAAGAAATACTACAACTGTGGTTATTGAATCCTTCCCCACCGTCGAGGGAGGTTGCTAGAGAGCGCGGGGGTGACGCGGTCACGGCCACTCGTTTGTCGGGCTCCGTGCCGATTTCTCTGCAACTCTACTCACTTGCTTAGAGGTACGTCGTCGTCTCGTAGTCCTATCGCAGAGAACTTTGAAGAAGGCAGAATCCAGCTTCCCTGCCTCACACGCGCAGAAACAAACTCTTGTAGGGGCATCCTATCTCTAGTGAATGTTTTGTGAATCGTCAGACTTCAAGTGTTTTCCGTTTTCATGTAGTGCAGATGGGAAGAAAAAATGGTGGTACCTGGGTAATGCAATTCGAATATGAGAACGTAGAAAACTTAGCACTAGGCATCTGAAAGATCTCAATACCAGAGCGAGCGAGCGCGCCTGCAAAAGTTCTGTGAACAGAAGATGTTTCTGAGGCAGAATGGTTATCCTCTCGGGTTGTTGTTTAAACAACGATGACACCAAAAAAACGAAGTATGCTTGATGAATCTTTTCTTGAAAACTCATCATTTCTGTGAAATACATATGCTTTCTTGTGATGTTTTTGTAGAACCAGGGATCTTTTTGACATTCGCATACAGAATTTAGGATTCGAAGAATATTTAAGCATATTCACAGTCCTATTTACACATTGAGGTAGTTTCAAACTAAAGGTGCAAAATGTAAGCTTGAATGAAAACAGCAAATAAATTGATATAAGTTTTTCCACTGTAAAAATCCCAAGCAATACCACATATCACAATTATAAAAAGTACTACAAAATAAAAATAGTCCATTATTTGTGTGTCAGTTGACTGAGATTGTCCAATAGTGAAATAAGGTAAATTCTAATCTCTATCATGGCAAAATAACTTACAAAAAAATTGACAACTCTTTTATTAATAAAAAACTATCATGTTATAATAATTTGAAGGTCAAGTTATGTACCATCAGTATGACAAGAGTTTATAATTTAAGCCATTAATAAATAGATCATATTCAAATAATTCCATAATTATTTTAGATTAGAATTTAAAATTATCTATTTATTTATTTCTACAAAATAATTTAAACAACATAAAACATTTTAGCATTCTTTCCAAATATTTTTCTTCCATGAATATTTTTAATTATTTTGTTAAGCAAATTAAAATAATCTATATTTATATTTCAAAATCCACATATTTCTATCATTTGACCACTATTATTCAACTTTTCATACAACTTTTCATATAGTAAATGACTCTGACTGCTCCTTTTATTATTTATTCTCATATTTAACTTTTGTATATTATGTATTATGTATTGAATATATATAGTTGTGTTAAGTCCTGCTAAAGTGAAACTAACTTTTAGATGACCCTAACTGTTAACTTCAACTGTTTTGGAGGGAAACTTAGAACATTCATAGCTGGATGGCCTTTTTCTAGTATTATGATTGGTTGAGGCCCTTTGTGCCCAGAGTATAAATTACAGGGATTTGACTGTCGTTGGCAGAGTTCCAGTTGAGTCAATAAATGCTGTTGTATCTATGCTGGCCTATTCTTGCATACTACAGCCACCACACAATAGTGGCAATGAGGGTGGGATGCTGCAGAGGAGAGAGCTGCTGCTAACCAAGAGACTGAAATCACTAGGTGTCAGATCAGGTAAATACCCCTGGTGGGACCACGCTCCCTGCCCTGCCTGCCAGTAAGACACACTGGAGGCACAGACGTACCTGAGGGATATGTCCACAGGACTCCTAAGTGCAGCCCAGCTCCAACTGCAGTAGTACAGGCATTAACCAGCACCACAGGGGCCTTCTCAAAATGGCTAAACTGGGAAGACTCAATGAGTTCAATATTACACACTGATCAGTGGAGCTCATGTGTCTCCCAAGTAGACAACTATCTCAGGGCTAACCAGGTCACGGACAATGGTCTGAAGGCAGCAACCCTACTATGTGTCTGCGGACAAGCCACGTTTGATATCACTGAAAACATGATAGCACCAGCAAGAGTAGAGACAGTGGTCTACGCAGACCTCAAGAAAAAATTAAGCAAACATTTTGAGCCTAAACTCTTAGACATCACCCAGCGCCATGCATTCGAGCAACATGAACAGAGATCCGGGGAATCTGCAGCAGAGTTTGTGGCGGCCTTTTGCCAAGCTCCGCACCAATGTGAGTTCCCTGATCTGGAAGACCGTCTTAGAGAAAGGCTCATTTGCGACCTGCATAATAATAAATTAAAGCAGCGCCTTTTCACCATGGAGAAGCTGACTTCCAAAATGCATTGAAGGAAGTCATGGCGAATGAGGCTGCTGGAGGGCCATGAAGATTCTCTGGCCACAAAAAACGCACAGTAGCCCCCCAGAGATCCACCAATAGACCGCAGAAGGCTCGGAAAAGATCAATGAGATCGAAGAAATCAATGCAGATAGAGCCATCCAGAAGGCCAGGATCCACAGAGCAAGCAACTCCCCCACAGAGCTAGGCAAGCTCTGAAATGAAAGAGCAGGGTGCAGATTCTACACAGCAGTATGCCATGCCTATGGAAAGCAAGGGCACTTTACTAGAGTTTGCAGAGGTCATCAGCGGGGAAAAAAAACATGTGACAGCAGTACAATGGGAAAAGGCCCCCATGGCAGAACAGAGTTGAATACTGATCAGGAAGGCATAGCATCCAACACAGAGGAGTCCAATGCCCCATCAAAGAAAAGATAAGACTCCTACTAAAACTTCAAGGTGTCCCATGCTCCATGGAGCTAGATACTGGATTGGCCCTGTCCATTATCTCCTCCACAACTTTTGACCACATTTTCAAGCCAACAGCAGATTCCACTCAAATCATTGAGTTTAGTGCTAATGGACTTCCAGAATCACTGTTTTTTCCATAAGGGGCGAAGCTATCATTAGAGTACAATTCAGAGAGTTTGAAGGTTCCCTCAGCATAGTGGTCATAGAGAGGTCCCGCACCAGCCTCACAGGACTGGACTGGTTCAAGACCCTGGGCATCAGGGTAACGAGCATCCACCAAACCCAAATAGCCAATCTAGAAGTAGTATGCCAACAATATGCTGACATATTCAGCACTGAATTGGGACAATACAAAGGGGCACCCATTGCACTCAACCTTGATCCAGCAGTAACTCCAATTCGATTAAAACCATGCAGGGTTCCCTTTGCATTGAAACCTAAAATTGATGCAGAAATACACAAGCTGGTACAGCAGGGAGTGCTCCAACCCATGGACTGTAGCCATTGGGAGACTCCCATAGTGACCCCAATTAAGCCTAACGGGGACGTTCAGATTTGCACAGACTACAAGTGCAATATAAACAAGTTACTACAGCAGCATGCTTACCCTGTACCAGTGGTAAGCCACATCCTCGCCTTGCTCCAGGAAGGCCAAATCTTCTCTAAACTAGGCGTCACCCAGGCTTACCAGCAGCTACTGGTAGATGACACTACCACAGAAGCACAAACAATAGTCACACACAAAGGTGCATTCTGAGTGCGCTGCTTGCAGTTTGGGGTAAGTGTAGCAACCCTTTGGAACAGGGTTGTTCCAAAGTATTATGGAACAAACACTGAAGAACATTCCCAGCATCTGCCCGTACTTTGATGACATTCTGATCATGGGGGAATCAGTAGCAGTCCTGGTGGAACGTCTCCATGCAGTATTCCAACGTTTCTATGAGGCAGGCCTAAAAGTCAGGAGGGAAAAGTGCCAGATTGGCGTGGAATCCACAGAATCCCTGTGTTTCTGCATCAACGCTGCCAGAATCTACCCATTTGAAGCAAAGCTAAAGGCAATTCAGCAAGCCCCCACTCCAAAATCCAAGAGGGAGCTCCAAGCATTCCTGGGCTTGTTCAATTTTTGTGCAAGGGATTTTCCTGTCATTTGCAGAGTTCCATTTGAGTCAATAAATGCTGTTGTATTTATGCTGGCCTATTCTTGCCTATTGCAGCCCATACACAATATTATGTATATTTTAATATTTTTTGCAAATTAAAACTTTCTTCACAAAGTAGCTGTGATTTTTTTGTGGCAGTTAAAAAAAATATCCATGTTATACTAGCTAAGTTAAGACAGTCTGTAGTATAACCTACAGTAGCCTGGGTTATATTCAAAGCATGATGTAGCTCAAACCCCATGAAAATAGTTAATTCTTCATATCCAAATACCACTACTTTCAGAAAAAGTGGAGCATATCAAGTATGATTTTAAAAAGCTGATCTGGTTCTTACTTATAAAACCATACAGCACTATTATACCTCTTGTTAAGGTAGCCAGATTAGCTGGAAATACTGGACCAGAAAAGGTGCAGAAGATGAGAAAAATGGGGAGACAATTTCCCACATTTCTTATCAGTTCAGGCATGGTGGTTAGATTATGCTTAGGTTATTCTCAGGTATATGTAAGGGTGCTGTATCAAAGGGAAAACGTAAGAATGCAGGTAATAACTGCATAAGCCAGAATTTAAATAGTCTGAAATTTTTTACTTATAAAAGTTGAAATAAAAAAGAAGATAAGAGTATGAATATGATAGTTGGAGTCTGGATGGTAACAGATTGTGTTAACATTGACAATAACCACACAAACCCTTCAGAATAAAGTAATATTGTAAAAAAAAATTGTTCTTATTTTCTGTTTTTATCAATGTTTATTTATTAAGACCCGGTTTCTATAGTGATAATGCAAAAATTAAGAGGAACTGGGAAGACTAAAAAAATGGGATTATATAATAAAGGTATAAATACAAGATGTTAAGATTATATTGATTCTATTAAAAAAATGAAATATCTCTCAATAAACTTCCAAAAAGAAATACAGGTAGTCCTTGACTTACAACAGTTCATTTAGTGACTGTTCAAAGTTGCAACAGCACTGAAAAAATGTGACTTATGACCATTTTTCACATTTACGACCATTGCAGCATCCCCATGGTCATATGATTCAAATTTGGATGCCTGGCAAATGACTCATATTTATGACGGTTGCGGTGTCCTGGGGTCATGTGATCACCTTTTGCGACCTTCTGACAAGCAACGGTCAATGGGGAAGTCAGATGCACTTATCATGTTATTAATTTAACAACTGCAGTTAACAGTTACATCTAACAACCATGGCATGAAAATTGAAAAATGGGGCAAAATTCACTTAACAAATCTTTCACTTAGCAACAAAAATTTGGGTCTCAATTGTGGTCATAAGTCGAGGACTACCTGTATGTGGTTGAAAACCTTGATGTTGTTGTAGTTCTAATATAAGAACAAATGCTTACAATCATATAAAATGTTTTGTTTGCTTCATGAGACTACTGGTAGATTTGGAGTTGTTTATTTTTCAGTCAAAGCATTTAGCCTTGGGAAAATATTTGGAGTTAAAATATTTGGAATGGATCTCCTTATTCTACTTGTTGGAAAGTATAGCCAGGGGACAGATTTTGTAATATCTACATACAATATATATATGTATGTATGTATGTATGTATGTAATATCTACATACAATATATGTATGTATGTATGTATGTATGTATGTATGTATGTATGTATATGTAGGTCTTTGGTTATTCGGGTTTTCTCCCGCGTAAAATTGGAGGTTTCTTGGCAACGTTTGGACGAAGTGTGACCATTGCTCCTAGAAGCACGAAGCCGAAGACACCAGCCTAAAGATGACGAATGAGACTTTGCCCAAACGTTGCCAAGAAACCTCCAATTTTACGCAGGAGAAAACCTGAATAACCATATATACATACATACATACATACATACATAGGATTGCATTGTGAGTTTCTGGTTGTTTTTCCTCCACAGCAAGAGAATTGCGCTGCCAGTGTGTGAAGGTTGTTTCCCATGGAATTCCCACTGCGTCCATTGCTTCTGTGGCTTTCATACCTGAGGGACCGCACTGCATTAGGCCTGAAGTCATGTAAGTGTCCAGGGCTAGCCTGCTGCATTTTAGCTACTCTAGGGCTAGCCCAGCCAAGAGCTGTTTGATCTCACTCAGAAACTAATGTTATTCTTTCCACTGTCACAGACTCACCAGGAAAGATGGGAAACAATTCTGCCTGAATACAACAATGCCATGGGTTCAGAAGGTTATCCAAAGATTTGCAAAGGTATTTATAAAGATCATTTAGTAGACCTGCATACAGAAACCACATTCTAGTACAGTTATAACCCGACAACAATAATTGTTTACTGAAGTTAGTAAGATTTCTAAGCAACCTGAATAAAGGATTGCTTTTTTGTTGTTGTTAGAAATCTGAATTATTATTTTGTTCAAATTCTATTGTAATATGTTTCATACATATGTGTGAATACACACACACACAGAGATGATTTTAATAATGCCGTCAATAGTTGTAATATAAATGCAGTGTAATCAGCAAGAAAATGTATTTTATACCTAACAAAAGAAGTCCTATAAACACAAGATGTGTTGGTGCTCCTAAAATCTCCATTAACAAAACATAATTAGAGTAAGATGATCTGCTGCAGACAGAAGTACATGGACAAGAAACAAAAAGTTGTATATGGCTGAGACAGCTTTGCCTTTTTATGCTCTTCAATTATCTTTTATGTTTTCAATTATTTCTGGTCTCTTGCAGCAAACTAGTAACCTGTGATACAAACACTATTGTTTGGCTATGTAGCTGCAAGAATAAACACTGCAACTGTGAAGAGAGAGCGAGAGAAGGAAGAAAGAAAAAAATTTGACAGAAGACGACAACCCAAAGACTTAATTATCCCTTTAGCGGTTCCCACTTCATTGTATTTATTATTCAAACATATGTTAATGTATTTATTGCTATCTCTCTATATCAGCATTTCTCGACCATAACCATGTTAAGATGTGTGGACTTCAACTTCCAGAGTTTCCATACACTTAAAATTCCAGTGCCATGCTCTCGTGGCCATCTAAATTTTTTCATATCAGATATGTGAAAGGAAACCCTTTCAAACAATGTTGCCTGCAATTCTTGTTACTCCCCTCCGTCGTTTCTCTTTCTCTCCCTCTCTGCCTCTCTCTCTCTCACACACACACACACAGACATTTGATTGCTTGAAAGGGACAGGCTGCGCTTTGCTTCTACCGTAAGCACACACATCCCACAATCTTTCAGAATTATCTGCCTTTTTGTCCTTTTCTCAAGCAGCAGCAGCTGAGTAGAGACCAGGCAGGGGGGGACCCGATTCCAACAGGTCACATGGCTTTCTGCCTCATTGCCAGAAACATCTCCAGGCACCCAGAGAGACAGAACTCCCAGCCCTCGCTGGATCAGCTGATCTGCTGGCCACAGTTAAGGGGCCAAGGTGACTGGGAAGGGAAGGGCTGCCTCCTGGGCTGCCCATTCCCACCACCTTCACTAGGGCTTATTTTTGGAATAGGCTTTATATTGGGCCCACCCCCAAAAAATTGGGAGGGCTTACTTTCGGGATAGGTTGTATTTTGGGAGAAACACGATACTCAATGCAATCTACATGATATACTGGTAATCCATGATTTATAGTCATTTGTTTAATGATTGTTCAAAGTGATAACCCTGAAAAAAGTTACTTACAACTGATCCTCACACTTATGACCATTGCACCATATCCGTGGTCATATGATCTGAATGTAGACACTTGGCAAGTGGCATTTATTTATGACAGTTGCAATATCCTGGGATCATAAAATCACCATTTGCAATCTTTTGCAGCTAATTTCCAACAAGCTGAATTCACTTAATGACTACATGATTCACTAAAAAATTATAGTGATTTGTTTAATCATAGCAAAAAAGATTATAATTTTGAGCACTTATTCACTTAACAATAGCCTTGCTTAGCAACAGAAATTCTGGTCCCAACTGTGGTCTTAAGTCAAGGACTACTTCTATGTTGCACATTGAAACTAATGGATGTTGATTGCCTTCTTGAATGTAATAATAGGTTGTGAGCCATAGTTGAATTTATAAAAAAAAGTGGGATGTAAAACTATTAATATGGTAAATGCATACCAAAAAGCGTAAGCAGAAAGGTACTCTATGCTTTCCCTGCCAGCCTTTTTGGGCCCTATTCATTTCAATGGAGCTTACTAAAGGCTAAATGTAACAGCCATGTAAAAGCATTGCCATGTTTTGACTAATACTTATTTCATATTTCATAACCATAAGTGGATTTTTTTTTTAAAAAAATTGATGACTTTGTATTTTCAATGAATGTTTTAGAAAATGTTTCAATATGACCATTTATGTGGAAATGTTAAGCAATGTTTTAAAACCACTTAGTATTTTTGTAGTTCTTTACTGCATCTTGTATTGCCAAATTACTTTGAGACTTGGTAGATTTGTTGTTTCTGGAATACAAAAAAATATAACCGCAATGAAGCCACATAGTACAAATTAAACATTTAAAAATATGCAACTTGGGGCTGATTTATATTTATCACTTTGGTGCATGAAATTTATTTCTGGTAATTTTAATTTATCAATGCTCAATAGTCCAGTTTAGAAATCTTAATCAATTATCTACATAATATTCTTTTTTATGTTGCCTCTTGGACCAAGTGAATCATCAAGATAATATGTGACACATTATTATTTTATATATTATAAATTTAATGAAATTGTTAACAAGCTTTACATCGAGGGGGGCTGGGTAGAGAGAATCTCCTCCTTTAAATTCCTGGGAGTCCATCTCAGCGAAGACCTCACCTGGAAAAACAACACGATCCAGGTGGCCAGGAAGGCCCAACAGAGACTCCATTTCCTTAGGATCTTGTGTGAAAACAGGGTGGAACAACAGCTGATGACCTCCTTTTATCGGTCCACAATAGAAAGGGTCCTCACTTATTGCATCACTATATGGCATGTCGGTTTGACAGCCATGGATAGAAAAACATTACAGAAGGTGGTGAGCACAGCACAAAACATTGTGGGGTATCCCCTAATACCACTAGATGAGATCGCTAGAGCTCACTGCCTTAGAAGAGTGAGGAAAATCCTCAGGGACGACTCACACCCTGGTCAGCACTTCTTTACCCTCCTGCCATCCAGAAGGAGATATAGAAGGATAGCCAGCCACACAAACAGGCTGAAGAACAGTTTTTATCCGTGGGCTGTCAGACTCCTGAATGCGAAATAACATCATAACTACATAGTATGATCGACTTGCAGGGCCGGCACAACAAGTGGTGGGATTCTGCCGGTTCTAGGCAGTTCGGCTGAACCGTTCGTTAAATTGCTGGCTCGCCCCGCCCCTTGCCCTGCCCCTCCACACCACTATTTATTGCCAATAAATAGTGGTGGGCGAGGGGCGGGCGAGCCAGCAATTTAACAAACGGTTCGGTGTTTGTTTGTAATTTTATTGGCCTCGCAGCACACCAAACCATTTATTAAATTGTTGGCTCACCCACTCCTCACCTCCCACCCACGCGGTGCCAGCCTATCCTAGCCAGAGGTGGGCAATTGTGGCTCTTTTACAACCTGTGGACTTCAACTTCCAGAATTCCTGAGACGGCTTGGCTGTCTCAGAAATTCTAGGAGTTGAAGGCCACAGGTTGTAAAAGAGCCACAATTGCCCACCCCTTCCCTAGCCTGAGTTCCACTGCCTAGGATCCACATGGGCTGCCACAGGGAGAAGCCAGGTATGGCTGGCTGGACGCTGCCCGGAGCTGAACTCGAGGCTGGCAGGAGGAGGAACGTTGTCTCTTAGCCAGCTCGACTGAGGGATAAGTCATCCGCCCCAGACACATGGGAGCAGAGCAGAAGGCGAAACTTGCCCCAGAGGTCACCACTTCAGCCCTCTGAGTAGTCCCTATGCACATAGCCACGCCCACCCGGTCACATGACCAGCTAGCCACGCCTACAGTCACATGACCAGCTAGCCACACCCACCCAGTCACATGACCACCTAGCCACACCCACCCAGTCGCATGATTGCCAAGCCACACTCCCAGCTAAGCCACGCTCACAGAACCTGTTGTTAAAAAAATTGAATCTCACCGCTGGGCACAACATGTAACATGTTCACACTGGTGCAACAGGACTGGGTGTTGGTTAATATGATTTATTGGGTTAGGGATTTTCTGTCATAACTGTGAGTTGTTTTGTGTTGGGGGGGTGCACTGAGGGAGCTCAGCCAATCTGATTGTACATATGTTGTGCACTGACTAAAATTCAAAAATTTAGAATTAAAAAAAATTAGCTGCAGTTAATGTAAAATAATTGAATATCATGATAAAATGTCTTTTAAAAAATAAACACTTATATCTAATATTGTTCTCGTGTACTATTTTGAGGGCAGCTACTGTATATCGAGCCTTCTCCCAGAAGATTCTACTAGAAAAGATGACTGAAACAGATATTTCGTCCTCACCTTCAGAAAGAGAAAAAAGGCCCACTAAATTTTAAACCTGTCAACTTCTCATTTATACCAGGCAAGCAGATTATCAAGCAATACGTTTACGAGCACTTATGCAAGCATGCTTTAATTTAGAGGAGTCAGCTTGAGTCTTCATGAAGAAATCATGCCAGTCTAATCTTAACGATTTTATAAACTGATTAGCTTAGTAGGATGTGCTATACACTCAGTGGAGCCCTTGAAAGAGTGTCTCATGATGTTCTCTTTCATAAAATGGTAAAATATCAGCCAGAAGTTACTCTTATTAGATTCAGTTGGCTGAATGACTGCATCCAAAGAGTCCTCATCAATCACTCTGCTTGTTTGTTTGCAGATAACATCAAATTTGGAGCGGTTCAAAAACATTTAAGCAGTCTTAAACACTGAATTAGACTGAAAAGGAGGATATCATTTAATAGAGTAATGTAAAATTACTAAATGGGTAGGAAAAATGTAAACACGTGTATATATTTGGGTAGACTTGGCTTGGCAGTAATAGATCTGAAAGGGGTACCATAAGTTAAACCTAAATCAGCAATGCAAGGAGGATGTAAAAAGGGCAAGTACTATCTTATAGTACATTAGCAGAGACATTGAATCAATGGCAAATAATTGTTTCATTCTAATTGCTTTACTATAGAGTGTTGTGCCCTGGTCAAGTCTCATCTGTCACTGTGTGGCATGATAGTTCCATAGGACAGTAACAACCTGAAGGAAATTCAAAGAAAGGCGGCATGGCTCTTTATGATAGTAAAGAGTCTGCAGGCCATGCCTCATGAGGAGCGTATGGGCATGTTTGCAAGCAGACAGATAAATTAACAAAATGTATAATAGCAGTCTTCATATATCTGAAGGGTTCTCACAGAGAAGAGAATGGAGACTGGTTTTCTATTGTTCTAGAAGGCATGACCAGAATCAATGAGTCAAAATTATTCATGGAAGAAGGGTCAGGCTAAATAACCAGAATAGGTTTCTGACTATAGGAGCTACCAAGCAGCAAAACAGGCTGCTGCATGAATTTGTGAGTTGTGACCTTCCTGAGATGTCTCCAGAAGAGAAACTCTATGATTATTTGCAGGAGATGCTCTAGTACTGGGGTGTCAAACTTGCGGCCCGCGGGCCAGATGCATCATGTGCTGGCCACCCCCACTCCCAGTTTAGCGAAAGGGGGAAAAGTCACGTGACGACATCACATGATGACGATGTGATGATGTGAGTTTGACACCTCTGCTCTAATGGATTCTACTAAAGATTGGATCAGGTGAGATCTAATGTCAGATTCTATGATTCAAAATGAGACTTGGATCATACTACCATCAGATAAATAAATAAAGATTTCAATAATCATATAACATCAGTGATTCTGCATCAAGCTGGAAGGAAATATAGCATCAAGATTACATTTAGAATATTACATATGGGTCTGGGCACCGCATTTTAGAAAGGACTCTTTTGAATTGGAGTGTGTCCAAAGAAGAGTAATCAAGAGGATAAACAACTGGGAAGAAAAAATTTATGAAGAACAACCGTAGTCACCAGAGTTACTCTGATAAGAGGAGACATCCAGGAGACATGATAAATGTCTTCAGACATCTCAGACTAACATGAGGAAGGTGGGGCAGAATTTTCAGAGTTGTTCCAAAAGATAGGCATTTCCTAATAGTAAGAGCTGTTCAACAATAGAATAGGCTGCTTTGAGAGATGGTGAACTATCCTTCATTAGACATGTTTGAGCAGATTGAAAGGCTGGATGGCATCTGTTAGGGATGCTGTAGCATAGGATTTCTGTGCTGGGCAGGAGGTTGGACCTGATGATCTCCAGTATCCATTCCAATTTTAAATTATGTTTATTATTTTAAATTAAATTTAAAAATAAATTAAATTAAATTAAATTTATTTTAAATTATGTTTCTAGTATTCCTTTACTCCTAGCATCTCATAGCTTCACTTCCCTATGTATGCAGAATGAACATTCAACTGTGGAAGCAAAAATGTCACTCACAATTGGAAGTGGTTAATTCGCAGATAAGTTTATTGTTTCAAATGAGAATATAGAATAACAGAGTTGGAAGGGACCGTGGAGATCTTCTAGTCCAGTGATGGCTAACCTTTTGCCATTGCATGCCAGGAGGGAGAGGGTAGGGGGGTTGCACATGTGTGTGCCCACAACCATAATCCTATGCGCCGTGCCCCCATACATACGCACACAACCCCCCCCCCACTCCCCCTGCTCCTGGCACGTGATGGCCTGGTAGGCCTGTTTTTCTTTCTCACCTGGCACCAGGGCCTCTCTAGGAGTCTGGGGAGGGCAAAAACGGCCTTCCCCACCCCTCAGGAGGTCCTCCAGAGGCCGAAAACAACCTGTTTAACAACTTCTAGTTTGACCAGAAGGCCTGTTTTTTGCTGTCCCAACCCTTCAGGGCCTCTCTAGGAGTCTGGGGAAGGCAAAAATGCCCCCCCCGGAGGTCCTCCAGAGGCCGAAAATGGCCCTTTGACAACTTCCAGAGGTCCTTATGACTGCATTGGTTTTTTTGGAGGCTGCAGCACACTACTGGCTCATATTTAAGTGGCTGTCCACTAGGACTCCTAGATACTTCTCATAATTATGCTGTTGAGCCAAATACCACCTAATCTATACATATGCATTTGCTTTTTCTTGCCCAAGTGTAAAATCTGATTTTTCTCACCACTGAATTTCATTTTGTTGGATAGAGCCCAATGTTCAAGTCTATCAGAATCCTTCTGGATCTTGAGTCTACCTTCTGGAGTATTGGCTATTCCTGTCAGTTTAGTATAGTTTGCAAATGATCAGTTCCCCTTCTATCTCCTATGTAAATCATTTATGAAGATGTTGAAGATTACTGGAGCTAACACAGAACCTTGAAGCACTTCATGGCATAGTTCCCTCCATACAGATGTTGTTCTATTAGGGACTACATGCTGAGTGCAGAGTCATAGATGAATCCATCTAATGATAATACTATCAATTCCACATTTTTCTATCTTACCAAGAAGTAGACTGT